CCGGCCGAGAGGGAGGGGGAGGGCGCCGCCCGCCCCCACACCGGCCCCGCCGGGCGGCGGCCAGGCGGGGAGGGGCCAGGGAAGCCCCTACCGTAAAGTTCAGAAAACCACCTCGGCTACAAAGTGGCGGCGCGCAGGACGGTCGTCAACGTGCAGCTGCGCCAGGCAGCGCGCACGTTGCTGTCTGCAGCGCAGCCTCTCTGTTTTTTCGTTAATTAAAATAAAAATGCAGGGAGCTGACGGCTGGGAGTACCCGTGGCTCAGCTGCCCACTTTAGTTTGCTGTTAAAATACTTGGCGTCGTTTAAGAGCTGTAGTCCAGCAGAGTCGCCCGCACCGATGTGCAGGGGATGCTGCTCTAACTACTCCGCTTTCCCGTGCAAGGAAAACCTCTCAGATAAGGACCGTTCAGTCGTGCTCTGTCCAGCTTATACATTCTATTACTGTATTTAAACGCCATTCGCGAGATGGGAGCCAATCCTGTCTACATCGCTCCACGCCTCTTGGTAAAATGGCTAATAACAGTCAGTCACAAATCTAGCCCAAAACAAGCCGATTTCCCCGTATCCCCCTCTCCGCACAACCAGAACCGAAGGAAAGCTGCGCGCGCCCTGGGGCGGCGCACGCGCAGAGCGAGAATGCCAGGATCTTTCCCACCCTGGCACCCGTCACACGGGTCCCCAGCGTCTGGGCCGCTCTGCCCGTTTTTTCAGCAGCCGTATCGCCTTCCTGCTACCTCGGCCACTTCTGATTGGACGAGCTCTTCCAATGATCTTTCAATCCGCCTCCCAAAGTGCCCGCCCTCCTCGATTTACGGTTTCCTATTGCGGAAGAGCAGTCGGATTGGCAGTAGGCTGTAGCCCGTAGAAAGCCTTATCGTCGTCAGGGAATGGGAGGGGAAAGGGCTGGGGGCGGGGAAACGAATCCTGGGAACGTGGGGGGCTGCGCGTGGAGCGTTTGGAGGCTCCGTGGGCGGTGAGTGTCGGTGAGGGGTTAATCGGGGGCGCTGCTGTTCCCCTCCTTGGAGCTCCGCGTGTGGATTAATGCCGTAGGCGACGGAAAGTTACTACAGCTGAGAGGCTGAGCAGCCCGCGGGGGAAGGGGCGATTAGTAGCGGTAACCTTTCACTTTCATCCCAAGTGTGGCTTCCTTCTATATCTGCCTTCTTGTAAGCTGCCGGACTACAGCTCCCACCATCCGCAGCCATTGGCCGTGCTAGCTGGACTGAACTCCAGCATATCTGGAACTTGCCACGTTGGGGAGCCCTGCTCGAAAGGCATGAAAGTAGGGCTGATGTGTGTCGGCTTGCAAAAGTAGCAAGGGTCGATTTCTCATCGGCTGAGGATCCAGCCGGTTCATCAGCTGGCAGAAGAGTACGCCAGCGTAAATTGAGCGGGTGGCCAAACCCTATTCTGCCTCGATAGCCAGGCCCGCAAGTGGTGCTGTTCTTACAGTTTTAATGTGGGATAAGTGGAAGTGATCGATGGATGCTCAAGGGGTCATTTCCTCTCCCACAGAGTATCCCCTCCCTCTTGCCTCACCCCGGACCCCTCTTCCTCAGCTGTGATCTGCCCGTCCGGCGAGCAAGAGCAGAGAGGTGCAGGGTGGAGGGGGCCAATCAGTGATGAGCGAGCCCCATCCTTGACTAGCGCTGCCAGGAAAAAGCAGGGATGGCAGCAACCAGAAATAGTCTGTTGGCAAAAAGGCTGCCTTTCTTTCCAAGTATTAAAAACAGTAAATAGTATAGCCCTGTGAAATCCCTTGTCCACAGAAGCAGAGAACAATTAACACGCTTACTGGGGTCAGAATCTGGAACAAAGTGGGCATGACATGGATCTCTTTACTGGGTTAAATCAACCTTTTGTGCAGCACAGGAAAAGCAGTAGTCTGAAGACAACACTACACTTGTTTTTTAAACAGAGGTCTAGAACTCTTTCAAAAGAATGCGAAACCTGTGTTTAACAAAGCAAGTCTAGTATTTTTGCCAAATGCATGCAAACCTATGTTTGTAAGGACCCCCAAAGACCTGACAAATATTTTGGAATGTATCAGTTAGGCATTATGTGGACAAATGCCTCTGTCAGAGGCACATGGTCGGCCCAAGCTAAAAGGGGCACAGGGTGTAGTGACCAGTAACAAGGGGGCAGCAGCAGCCGGAAGTGGCTGAAAAAAGCTAGGCAGATTTTAATCTTTGACCACATCGCCAACCACTGAATTGATGAAGTGTGCTGTGGCAAATGTGTTCGGAAAAGAGGGACAACGCTAACGATTTATGTTCCCTCAGCTGTGGGCTGAGGATGAAACAGGCAATTTTCATATGAAATTGTCATATGAAAACATGTTTGGGTTGTAATTAGGGGGACGTAAGGATGAGCCCTGAAACGAAATGTGTCTTTTGAGTTCTTTGTGTTTTTAAAAATAAATTTTATTAAAAGTTTTAAAGAGAACATAAAAACTAACACAAACTAATACAATAGAGAGAGAAGAAGGAAGGAAGGAAGGAAGGAAGGAAGGAAGGAAGGAAGGAAGGAAGGAAGGGAGGAAAAAAGAAAACACAAAAGTGCAGTGAGAAGGAATAAAAAGAAATAGAAAGAAGAAGCTTCTGATTTTCTCTGTGGCAAATATAAATATGATTACAAAATTATATCTTTCTCTATGGTTACAAAAAAAAAGCTCACTTTTTTCTATTATCCATTTTTTTTCTAATCATCAAAACCACAACTTATAAGTGCATTTTTTTTCTGTTTCATGCAAGAAATCTATAAAGGGTTTCCAGTCACCCATAAATGTAGATACTGTCTTTTCTCTGATCGAGGAAGTCAATTTAGCCATCTCTACAAGTTCCACCATCTTCACCAACCGTTCTTCCATTGTGGGTAGTGTCGAACCTTTCCATTTTTGAGCATATAATAGTCTTGCTGCAGTTGTCATATATAAAAAAAAGTTCCGTGGCTTTTTTCTAGTTGCCTGTCCATTAGTCCCAAAAGAAAAATTTCTGGTTTCAGTTGTAATCTTTACAATCTGAATTAATGTGTGTATTTATATCCACATTTTTTGGCTTTTTTACACATCCACCAAACATGATAAAATGTCCCTTTATGTTGTTCACATTTCCAGCAAAGATTCAAAGTATCTTTATACATTCTAGATAATTTCTGTGATGACAAATACCAACAATTTACAAAATAGCAGCCATGTGGACATAGCCCATTACAATATTAACCAGGTTAATACTGGTAACATATGGGATCTTTGGAATAAGGAATTGCAATATCTAATCTTTGAAAATTAATGGACCCAAGTTTTAAGGAATGTTAAATGCACTTCTTGTGACTGGGGCGAAGTTAGTTCATCTTACAATTTTTTTTCATGTTTTTTGGATTCACCAAAGAAAGAATTGATACTGAATTTCTTGTTTTGATGTTGAAAGTTATTTGAGGATTCTTTGACTCATGAGTCAGATGTGTTCACTTAAGGTCTTTTTCTGGTCTCAAGTTATACACACTTGGGGGAAACTGTAGTTGTTAAAGATGTAAATGTATGCTGAACTATACCCCCAAAATACGGAAATTGACATGTTATGCAGAGTTTTGACACTTTTGAGCCTGGAGGTCAATGAAGAAAATCATTCTTCAAAGGTGGTGAATAGCAATACTCCAGATGTAAAAAGTAGATTCAGGAATTGTGTTCTTTGACACTTTTTGAAATGTTATTAAGTTGTAGAAATAAAAAGATAGAAGAGCATGTTTAGATGCAATAAGACATATATTTACAGTATATATGATTTTTTAAAGCTTCTGTTTATTTTTTATCACTATTACATATGTGTATGTGTATTTTTTATTTGTATTATCACTGTTGTATTGTCTCTGGGTGTGTGTATGGGTTTTCTTTCCTAAATATTAAAAAATTAGAGAAAGAGAAGAAAGATGCAGCTGGCATATGGGGCTGAGACATTTTCACAAATAAAGATGATGCTTGAGGCTGGCATTTTCCTTTGGAGCACGTTTCTTTGTTTCTAAAATTAAAATAATTTAGATGTAAACTGTCAAGTGAGGCAGGACACCTTGTAGATGGCAAGATGCATTGACAGGCATTACACTGGAGACCCCAGATTTTGTCCAGTGGCAGTGCTGGGGCTGCAGAAGGAAGGAGAACCAACCATAACACTAACAAAAAAAATACTCCTTTTTCTGCCAGCAGGAGTATTTTGAGTGGAACAGCTTGTGAAGGCTGCTGCTTGCTGAACAAAATCTGGATCATTATAATAGATTCTTCATGAATTTGTAAATTTCCAACAAGTAAAAACAAACTTAGACTTTTATGCAGCTAACTAGATGTGGTTGTTCTGAATAAGGATTGTTCAGGATCTCATTGCACCTCCCTTGACTCAAGAATGGTGGAGTATAAAATTAAATACTGTATATCATTTAAGTAATGTACTGAAAGCAAATATAGAAAAGATATCTTTAATCTCACCCCACAAATATGTTTCCCTGATTAGAATTGATGCCTTCCAATTAACTGGAAATACTTTTATTAGAAATCATCAGTTATCATTTTCAAGTATTCGAATGATATCCATTTACATATAAATGATACCCATTTATGCGTACTAAGAATAATAATTTGTTTTGTTTGTTGTGTGATTATTTTATAGGTGGTAGTATTGATTTTTCTGACATTCATCATGATAACTCCAGCATTTGAACTGAGCCAAGATCCAAATTTTCTTACAATAACTATCAAAGTACCTTATGCACGAGTTTCAGAATTTGAAGTCTATTTTGAAGGGAAGTTGTTCCGTTTTTATGCAAAACCTTACTTTCTCAGGTAAGCAAGGTCAGTTCTCAAGCTGAACTTAATTTTGTATATTTAGTTTAGTAAATAATATACATATTTCTACCATTCTTTCTAGAAGCATACAGCTAAAGATCACAGATTGTTATCTGCTACAAAACAAAGTTGCTGTGAGCTTTGGGGTTATGTTGGGCAATTAAATGTGGTTTGCTCACATCACAGTATCTCATATTTGGATGCAAATTAGAAATTGTTTAGCCAGCATGCAGAAAAGTGTTACATTTATTGAAACTTTTAAACAAAAAAATAAAAACTAATACAAACTAATATAAAGTAAGGAAGAAAAAAGAAAAAGAAGGAAATAAAGAAAAAAGCCAAAAGAAAAAAAAGTTGAAGAAAAATAGAAAAGAAAGAAAAAAGGTATAAAGAAGTAGATTCCAATATTCTTCATAGCACTTTTAAGTACAAATATATTTTAACCTCTGTCTTTAAAGTTACATCATATTATTCCTCTTTCTATAATCTGTCCTATCTAATCACCAAAACCATAAATCACAAATTCATTTTTTTCATCTGTGTGCAAAAACTCCATAAGAGGCTTCTAGGCTCCAATAAATGTAAAAAGCGTTACATTTCTTTATCTCATACATAGGAGGGAAAATGGAATGAATTAGTTTGAATCCTGTGTGACATAGCTTTGAGTCAAAGCAGGGTTTGTTTGCTATAGGTAACTACTTATATGGAGAAATTTCTCTGCACATATATGCCCAGAAGCACGTACACGCGAAGAGCCAATGTACCAGTATGGTACAGTGATTCAGGTGCTGGGCTAAGAGTAAGAAGACCCAGCTTCTAGTCCTCCCCCAGGCATGACTCTCCGTGGGCCAGTCATTTTCTCACAGCCCTAGACTGGGAAATTGAAAGATACTTATCTACCAACCCACATTGGGATGATGATGATGATGATGATTTTAAAAATGCATGTACACACACACTCAAACACAGATTCAGACACTGTAACAATAAGATACTTAACTTTTTTTTTAGATTGTTTTTATTTTATTTTTTTTATAAATAACTCAAGGCAACAAACATACCTAACTAATACTCCTTCCTCCTCCTATTTTCCCCATGACAACAACCCTGTGAGGTAGGTTGGGCTGAGAGAGAGCCCAAAGTCACCCAGCTGGCTTTCATGCCTAAGGTAGGACTAGAACTCAGAGTCTCTTGCTTTCTAGCCAGTAGACCAAACTGGCTCTTTCTTGTGTTTTTTGAAATATAATATTTAACACTCAGTCTCTATAACTTATATTCTCTTAAAGAGATGTGGCATATACAGTAAAAGCTCAATGGATCATTTGGGGAAGGGAGGTAATATCCATTAAAGCCAAATGTCCAATACATTCAAATTTATATAATAGATGGATGTTGTTTGTGCAATTAGAAAATTGAAGCAAATGACATACAAATGTCAATTATGCCATTGTACAAATGATGTAAATTAGCTTAGTTTTCTGGACTGTTTTAGAAACAACAAACTTTGTCCCTGTTTAGGAATGAAGTCCAAAGCAAAATGTCCACTCTATCTGAGATTTGCTGATTGAAAGTCTAGAGAATTAAGGTTTTACTTTATATAATAGACTGAAACTGCGGTAGCAATTACCAGCTGTCACCACATCATTCTTAATGGGTTTGGTGAGATTAAGTGTGGCATATGGGCTTTATGGCCAGGCTGGCTGCTGCTGAGTGGGCATGAGTCAGCAAAGAAAAAGACAAAAAATGGAGAGAAGAGGCTCAGGTACAGCATTACAGTATGGCTGTGCTGTCAGGTGAGCTGCCCTGTGCTATCCAGGATGGTTGTGGGGCAGATGGAGGCAGTGGTTTGATTGGCAAAACCTAGTGTGTAGGTGTTGGGACCTAAAGCCCTGAGGAGGGGAACCCATCTCTTCAATTGCTGGGGGAAATTGCTGCTGGTAAAAGAGAGAGAGAAGAAAAAAGAAGCCACTTTACCACATTTGAGCCTGTGCTGCTTTGAAGCATCAAGGCAGTAAGTGCTTTTGGAGAGACTGTGCAGGAAGTTGGTGGCTGGAGAAAGATATTGTTGCATGTGTGCTGGGCTGCTGGACTGTGCAGGTGCCAGTTCCTGGCCCCAGAGGGAGAAGACAGTGAAGACATTGGCTGGAGACTTCCTGGGAGAAGGGAAGGGAAGACCCTGACGGAGGGACATGCTTCACCCAAAAGCCAAGGCAGATGGGGACAGAGGGAGGCAGCTGCCTGCAGGCAAAACGCCTGGACCCTTCAGGGAAGCCCCGGACCAGGAAGAGCTGGGTAAAAAACCCAGAGAGAAGTGTATCACGCAGTGTCTACGCAGAGGGACAGCTGTCGAAGTCCGGAAAAGCACAAAGCAAGGCTTTAAGCACACAGCAAAGTAACTCAGCCAATTCCCGTCTTATCAGTCTGCTCTAGGGAAAAGCTGAAGGGAAGGTTGGAGGAGAATGTGGGGAGGGATAGCTAAAGCAATGGAGTGGGTGGTGGCTAGTGAAAGCCCTGGAAGAAAGGTAGAAAAAGTTAGAAACTGGAAAGCTTGGCCACTGTGCTGTAAATGTTGGGGGGGGGGTGTTCCCCGTAATTCCTGTAAATATACCTCCTCTTTTGTCTCTGCAAAGCAATTGTTCTCCTTAAAGACACCCTCCCAGCGACAAAAGAACCCTCAGTCATGCTGTGATATTGTAATGAGTCCTTCCTGTCTTTCATTTTTAATTCTGCAGTGCTATATAGCATGTGTACATATTATTTGGAACTGAATGGGGTATTGTGAGTCTCTTGGCACTTGAATTTATAAATAAAACAAGTTTTATGTTCCCTTTTTTCCTGAATAAGTAGGTCAAAATACCAAGAAAGCAAAAAAGAAGAAGAAGAAGTTGAAGTTCAGGTGTGATGAACTTCAACTTCCATTCACAACTCCACCAAGGACATGGTGATTATTCTGACATTCCTGGTAAAAGTAATACCAGTGTTTGCCCATTCACAAGTTTTATTCTCTTTTCTGTCTGCCACCTCTTTAAATTATATAACTTACTATTTGGACTTGTTTCACATTGCAGAGTCTGTGTAATTTGATTTGCCAAAATGTTACATCTATACACTGGTAGCTCATACTAATAATATACATTAAATAAAATACTTATTTTTTTTCCCTTCACAGATTAACCCTTCCTGGAAGAGTTGTAGAAGATGGAAGAGAGAAAGCATCATATGATGATTCAGGTTTGTTTTGCAAATATCTTCTTTTTTTTTTAATTACATTGTAGCAGCATATGTTTGCTTCCAATTCCACCAGTAATTCAAAGCTATAGCATGTTATCTTGGCTTCTGGCAGGTCTTTGATTTAAAACACTTTTCTACATAGAGATAAATAACACATTTAAAGTGATTTATGGCTGCTAGACAGAGGATGAGGAAGATTCCTATGTTATGAATTTCTTTGCACCAAAATAACTTCAGAGCCTATTCCAAGAGGAACTTGAATTGCTGGTACACCCATTTGCTTTTTTCTAAATATGGGTGAATAATAAATGAAGAGGGAATTGGATTTGCTGACCTTCCCCTGAACAGAAGGAAGGAAGGAGAGCCAAGCCAAGCCAAGCCGAGCGGAGGGTTTTTTGTTTGTTGTACCCAAATCCAAAAGAGCTAATTTATATCATGTAAATGGAAGTCTGCATTTTCAGTTGAGCTTTTTCATTATATTACACAACCCTGCAGCTATTTTACTTTATTAGGATTTGCCCTGGGGGGATTCCTCAGCCCTCTAGTGTAGATTTTGAGGGTATGCTTGGCGATGCAAGTGGAGGAAGTCCTTCCCAATCCGATTTTCACTGATGCAGAATTCTACAGAGGAAGATGGACTATGATATTCCCGTGACAATTTTGTTTTTATTTTCAAGGTGGTTGTTGTGGGGAAAAATCAGAGGAGGGGACACCATGAATGCTACCTTGTGTTCCTGAATGAAAATCAGGATATACAGTAAAAGGAAGGAAGGAAGGAAGGAAGGAAGGAAGGAAGGAAGGAAGGAAGGAAGGAA